TGATGAACGATCTGCGTTATAACCTTACTAAAAAATACCGTGATGCTATTTTTAGTTCTGTGGAAGAATATCTCAACGTACCATCAATCGGTCCAGTGATAGTTGAGGTACAAACGGGTATTATGAAAGTGCCACTAAACGCTAGATCTGCAAAAGATGTCAAGGTTTTGTAAAATGTAGAATTTAACTTTAAACCATCATCTTTGTTCTCCATAAGCTGTTGCATGCCGTCAACAACCAAAATGATGGTAGCACTTTTCAAGTCTCGGTTATAGTGTTTGGCAATCAATTTCACAACATCCATCGGATTTGGTGGGTTGTATGTCTCGATAATTTCATAAAGATCCATCTTCTCTCTGAGAAGTTGAAATAGCATACGAGTACCGATGGCAAGATAAGGGTTGGATTCTTCTTGTTTCAAAGAGAAGCCATTCTCATAGCTGACATGGAATACCCAAGCTTCTTTAATCCTGGTCAACAGCTCCCTATCTTCTTGAGTTGACAAACATGTGATTGCCGTCTGGTGGAATTCATTAGCGTTTCGAGATTTTCCGGTACCAGCCCCAGAAAGGAAGAGATATATTGGAAGATCCGACTTTTTGTCAATACGCCCTAAAGTAAAATTTTTATAATGCTTTTTAAGCGCTTCTCGCAAGATCTGCTTCAAAGATGGGTCAGGTTGATACTCCCAATTCGCACCAGAAGTGCGAAGCAAAGGTTCTGGTTTCATGTATGGCAATCCTAGCATATGAATCGATCAGCCTCGATGTAAAAAAAACGAGGTTTCGGCGAGAATTACTTAATACATACCTCCAGGAAAGACATCAGTGATTTTTTTCCTAACTTCTACATGAATTGTGTTTTTAGGATTTTTTTTGAGGGTAAGGAGTAGTAAAGTAAAAAAAAGCACAAGATTATATATTAGACGTTTCATAATTAAGACTAAGAAAATAACCAACGAAAAATCAAGCCATTTCATGCTCACTCGCGTTGACCAATTTATTACGATTCACTTACCAGCACCGGATTGCTCTACGATAACGCAATTGTGTTTTTTGGCGGGTTTGACGGTAAGAAGCAGGAAAGCAAAGCACAAGATTATGTAAGTATTCGGTATTATTGGTGAATATGGCATGGTCTGGACGAGAAAGAATTTACATACTCTACCTCCTTTAATTTGTTTAATCAACCTTTCAAGTTTTTTGGCGGGAGCGCCCGGTATTCCCCATCTTTCAAAATCTACGGCATTAAAATCAAGAAAGGTATCACCCTTAACTCTCTGATTATATATTATATTGATATCATCGTCCTCAAGGTCCAATTCAACTCTCCTCCCTTGCAAAAATCCTTTAACCTCATCTCGACTTAATCCATTAATTTCTTCAGTTGTCGGGAGACTAGCCGTAGGAGCACTCGTAAAAGAACTTGAACTCGCAACGTTGTCAGACATGGTGATAAAAAAGTGGTAACAGTCGTACAGTTCAGAAAAAGAAAAAAATTTTGCAATGGGATATAGTAATAAATCGATCGGTTACGCAAATATCTCATAAGCCACACAAAAAAGTGCACAGTCTCTGATGTCACTACTTTTTACATATTAAGTGATAAGCGAGAAGTATATGCAAGCGATAAAAAAATAAATACAAGATCGGGACTGTGCCCTGGGATACATGGCGAATTTACTATACTATTATACATGCTTATTTTTTCTTGATTATATCTTCTATACGGCACACCTTATTTACTAGCTGATACCTATCTTTTAACAAACCCACTATAACCTCTAAAATCCTCTTCACGTTCTTGCGCAAGTCGGTGGGATCTTTGATGGCGTATATGACGGAGTATCGTTATCACATTCACATCGCTTATATATTCCATCCGCCACCTTTTTGCATGTTTTGCAATATAGGTGTGAATGATGATT